GAAAGGAAAGGAAAGGAAAGGAAAGGAAAGGAAAGGAAAGGAAAGGACAAAGGAAATTTTTAAAGCAAACCTAATGTGACGAGTGTGTAGCTGCTGCCCTGCTCCTCACCCATCAGGAGGAAGCATTACCATATTTCATTCCTGCATTTAATCCCTTCCCTCCAACACAGTCAGGCTTCTGTCAGCTCAGAATGCACCTGCTCTTTTTCCAAAAGGCCTTTTATTAAAATAAAGCAAGTTCAGCAGAAGAGCTGGACCTTGACTGTGGCCTGGGAGGGGTTTTGCTCTGCACCAGCAGCTCGGAGCTGCTCAGGGGACAAAGGGCAGCTCCCAGGGGAGCAGTGCCTGGTGCCAGCGAGGGCTCCACAGCAGGACTTGCTGTTGCCTTGCCAGGGGTGACACCGAGCAGCAGCAGCAGGGCTCGCTCTGTCCTTTCTGCTTTGTCACCCTTTCTCACACCTCGGAGGTGACCGGGGAGGTGGCACAGCTGGAGGGACATCTCGTGGCATGTGGCCCTTCCCTGAGCCGCTGTCACGAGCCAGCCCAGCTCAGCAGTGCCAGATAAACCCAGGCTGACCCCCTGACAAAGCCAGCCCACGTCAGCCCCGGCCCCCCGGCAGCACCGTGTCCCTCATGACGCAGGCTGGGCTGCTAAAATTAGACCCACAAGGTGCTGACTTGCCCAAGCCTTGCCAGTTTGCCAGGCAGGCTCAGCCTTTCCCTCCCAGCCCCAGGTGTGGGAGCTGGAGCCAGAAAACCCTCAGGAATGCACTCACTGGGCTAAACCCAGTTTGGGACGGGGTGGGGGGAGTTGCTGACATCCTCAGCCAAGGCACGAGTCCAGGGAGCAGCAGAGCATCCCACAGGACCGGCTCCAGCAGCCCTGGAACCTGGATTTTCAAAGAGCATCTGGGGTTGGTGGGTTTTTTTGCTTTCCTGAATAGTTTTATGGTCCACAGAGAAGGTCAGGTGGGTTTGTCCTACAGGTGTTATTCCTCAAGCCAAGGAAGAACAACATGAAGCAGCTGCCTAAAGGGGAAGACAAGGAAGTAACTTAGGGAAGTTACTTAAAAAAGCACCCTGAGCCAGCTCTTCCAAAGGGATTAAGGCACCGAATTCCTACAGAAAGGCATCTGTGAGCCCAGCTCTTCCAGAGGGACTGAGGCAGCAGATTCCTATGGAAAGGCACCTCTGAACCCAGCTCTTCCAGAGGGATTGAGGCACTGAATTCCTACAGAAAGCCACCTGTGAGCTCAGCTCTTCCAGAGGGATTAAGGCACTGAATTTCTACAGAAAGCCACCTGTGAGCCCAGCTCTTCCAGAGGGATTAAGGCACTGAATTTCTACAGAAAGGCACCTCTGAACCCAGGTCTTTCAGAGGGACTGAGGCACCGAATTCCTACGGAAAGGCACCTGTGAGCCCAGCTCTTCCAAAGGGACTGAGGCACTGAATTCCTATAGAAAACCACTTGGAAAACACACACAGAAACACCAATCCACCCAGGAACACGATTCCAGCGGCCCTCAACCTCCAGCAACCCCCTTATTTCGGAGCCCAGCGAGCCCCCAGCGGGCACCTCGTCCCCCCCTCACCTGTCCACGCTGATGATGCACAGGGTCATGATGGAGGCCGTGCAGCACATGACGTCCATGGCGATGAACACGTTGCAAAACACCTTCCCAAAGAGCCACTCTCCCCCCACCAGGTCCGTGATGGTGACGAAGGGCATGACGGCGAAGGCCACCGACAGGTCTGCGGCCGCCAGGGACACCACCAGGTAGTTGGAGGGCTGGCGGAGCTTCTTGACGATGCACACGGAGATGATGACGAGCCCGTTGCCGGCGATGGTCATGAGGATGATGATGGAGAGCACGGCCCCGATGACGACCTTCTCGGTGTCCCCATAGAGCAGGATCTCCTCGCCGCAGTCCGTGGCGTTGGTCAGGTTGGAGGGCGGCAGGTCCGGCTCGGCTGGGGGTTCCTCAGTCATGAATGGATTCGGGAGCGATTCCCGAGCCGGGGGCTGCCGCTCTGCGCTCTCCACGAAGAGAAGGTGTTGCTCCAGGAACCTCCTGGGGGTGGCCCTCAGCAGCATGCTCTGAACTCGCCCCGGCAGTGACACCTCCGGCAAGGACAAACCAGAGCATTTTGTCACAAGCACGCCGAGGAAATAAAATATTCTCTTCCCCCCCACCTCCTCGCCTCTCCCTCCCCTTCCACCTCCCCGGCTGCTATCTCCCGAAGCTGCGGCTGGATCTCACGTGCTCAGCAAGGAGCCGCTTCTCAAGTCTCCTTAAAGACGCGCAGTTTGCCGGGGGAGGCTTGGAGAAAGCTCCTCTCCACTTTTAAGGGAGCACAAGCCGCTCCTCCTGCAGCATCTCCCTGGTCATCCCCGCGCTTTTCCCGGAGAGGCAACGGCAGGAGCTGCCCGCGGATTGTGTGCCACTGCCGAGCTGTGCTGCTGGGCTTGCACTTCTCCTCTGCATCCATACATTTAATCCCAGGCAGCCACATCCACGGGCTCCTACGTGGATATCGGGGGGGGAATGCGACAGCACAAGTCACGGCCACGAATGTGGGCGCACACACAACCTCCCCCACACACACCCCGCCGGCTGCATCTCCCGCGGGTGTCACACACAAACTTCAAAGCCGGGACTGCAAATCCACGCACATGGCATGGAATGGCCACACGGAACCATCCACAGGCGCGGGAGCACCGTGCGGAGCTGCGGATCGCGGCGGGAGCGGATCCATCACACGCAGCACCCCCGGGGTACCACGCACAGTCCCCATCCACGGCTCATTCCCGGAGCCAGAGCATCGCCACCGCGCGCAGCAGGGATACACGGAGAGCGGCTACCGCCCGGGAATCCACCCCTGGAAGTATTTCCCAGCCATCCACAAGGAAACTTTGAAACAAAACCAAACAAACAAAAACGAGGATGCGGGTCGTGCGCGATGCTCGCAGCCCTGCACGGGGGTGAGCCCTGCCCCAAACCTCGTTTCCCCCCTGAAGTTTTGCTTCAATCGAAGCTGGATTGCAACCCCCTATCCCCTTTGCATCCCACCCCGGGCTGGGGTGATGGGGGTCCCACAGTTACCTGTGCCGAGGGGGTGAGACATCCTCCAGGCGAGCCCCTGCGAGCTCCGGGCAGGCGAGGAAGCAAAAAGCCACCCCCGGAGCATCCTTGTCCCCTCCCCGCCTCGCCGGTCCCTCCTACCGCCCTCCCCTCCCTCTCCCGGGCAGGGACCCAGATGGTCCCTGGCTCCCTCTGAGCCCCAGGGAGGAGCAAAGAGCGGGAAGGGGGAGTCCGGGCTCCATCCTGCAGCGATGGGAGGGAGAGGGAAGGGAGCGAATGAGGATCTGGAGGGAAAGGCTGGAAGGTGAGGAGATGCCTTTGAGGGCGGCGAGGCAGGAGGAGCAGCCTGGATCCCAGCAAGCGGGGGGACGGGGAAAGGCTATTTCCCGAGCACCCTTCCCCAGGATTTTTTATTATAATTTTACAGGAGAGGGTTCCTTTCCCTATTCCACGTGTTTTCCCACCCCTCCTGCGTGTAGCAGGTCCCGCATTCATTCAGCTCCTCGCTGGAGAGCAGCAAACAGCCAGGGAGAGGCAAATCCCTAAAGATGAGCCCTTCCCTTATCCTAGGAACGTGGAAACAAGGACTATAAACAAACCAGGCAACAACACGCAAAGATCCACATCCACTTCCCTCTCCACCAAATGCTTCATGGACACTTTGGAGCAGGGATCACCCCGGTGCTTCAACCCAGGGCACCAGACAAGGCGCTGTTTGCTCCTCCCGGGGTGGAAGATGCGGAGCAGAGACACCTTGGCTGCTCCTAAGGGCAGTTCCCTTGGGAATATCCCGGGGGGGATGGACAGTGTGGTGCTTCTCCCCTTGCCCCACCCCGCGCCCCTCGGGATGCTGGAATTCGGACGGGGGAGGTGCAGGCAGGCGGCTCTGGAGCTGTTCGCAGGCTCGGGAAGGGATTCCCGCTGCCCTGCCCCGTGCTGAGCACTTCAGGAGCAAGACGGGAATCTCGTCCCCGGTGCCAGCAGCTCCCTCGCCCGTCCCATGACCCTGCAAACACCCTGGCACCCTCCAGCCCTCCCGGGGACAGCGCGGAGGGCTGATGATAGGGAAAACACCTTTAAATCTCGGCGGTGCCAAGCCCCGCATCACCTCCGGTCAGAGGGATTTTTGGGGCAGATGTTCCCGGAAAAAGGTCCGTGAGCGAGGAGAGCGCCGGGCAGCTAAAACGGGGCTGTTCAGGCTGCGCTGAACGCCGGGGTTTCTCCTCTGCTGCTCGAGCTTCGCAGCGTGTGTGGGAGGCTGGCGAAAATAGCTTCCTCACCAGGGCAGGACGTGCTGGAGCTCCCGGTTTTTTTTCTTTTTTTCCCTTTTTCCATTACAGGTGGGTTTTTATTTTTCCAGCCCCTCAAGAGCAGTGACGTGCCAAGGTGGGATGGGACCGATGCAAACCTGCAAACCCCCGTCCCCGCACGGTCTGGGGACCGGGAGCCGCCTCCGTGGCCGGTCTGAAATCGCTGATGTTTGCCAGACAAACACATCCCGTATCTCCAAAGAGAAAAGGGGATCTGCAGAATTCCCTGCTGCAGGAACGAAGGGTTCTGCAGTCTCAAAACCTCGACAAACTCACCCAAGAAGAAAAGCACCCCCCAAGGACCAGCTTAGGCGGCCTGGAGAATTTCAGGGAAACGATCTTAGCACGAGCTTCAGACTCCTGCCCTGCTTCCACCCCTGGGAGAGGGGTGGGCAGGAAGGATACGAGGTGGGAGATGGGCAGGAGGGGCTTTTCCAGCTTCCTGGAGGTTGCCCTTGGGAGAACAACACCCCAGGCAGCTCCTGTGCGTTAGTAAGGACAGACAGGGAGGGATTTTTTTCCTGCTGGGAAGCAGCTGGATTATGCACAGTCCTGCCAGGGAGGAAGGAGAGAAGGTGCTTATGGAGGTGATGAACCTCATGGGCCCTTTGCTCTGGCCTTCCAGGACCTTGTGGCAGAGCCTCAAAATCCTGCAGGAGCTTCAGGGGGCAGCATTAATCCCCTTAGTTCCCATCCCAGCCCTGGGTTCTGTAGGATACAACCCACACAGCTTCTCCCTTTCGAACCTCCTGCGGGTCTGGGGACTCCAGAGGAAGGTTTTTCCCCACCTTTCCAGGGGAATGAGCTGCTCTCATAACTTGGGGAGCAACAGAATTCCTCCAAAAACAGGCAGAAAGCCACTGCCAGCTCATGGGACTGTGCACTGAGGGCACATTCTCTGCATGGGCTGATTTTTGGGAGGACAGAAGGGAAAATGCCGATTTTTGTGTGAAGAAAGAATTAAAATAACGATTATTTTTCTGGCTGAAACCCTTGGTGCAGCATTTCTCCAGCCACAGGCCACGGTGACCTTGCTAAGACACTTGTTTCTGGGGCACTGGGAAGCACTAATTGCATTTAATGGCAATTAGGGGAGGAAATGGCCAGTGTGCCTCAGCTCAGCCACTAACTGGAGCTTTCTTCCTTTGGCTGAGGAGACTGGAGCACGGAATTGGAGGAGCAGGGATGTTGCTGGAGCCAGAGGGACAAACCCCAAGGAAAATTGTCCTCCAAAATAAAGCTGAGGAGCGGAGGGCACAAAAAAACCCCCAAATCTTCCTCCTCCATCTGCAGCAGGGGAGAGGTGAATAAAGTCCTCCTGCTGTTTTCCACCAGGTGCATTATTCTATTTCCGTGTACAAATGACCATAAAGTGGCTATTTTATTAACAAATAATTGTTAATATCACGCCCTATTAAGTCCAGTGGCAAGGTAACAGGCACAGTTATTAATATGCAAATTTTGAGAGATCTCATTAGCTCCGAGGCCCCTCCGCCTCTCCGTGTTTTTGGGAGCAGCATCCCAAAGCAAACCCTCCCTGCACCACGGGTGGGGACATTTCCCCCTTGGAGAGGCAGAGCCTGCCCAGATGGACACAATCAATCACTGGAGACCCACCAGCTTTCAAGGAGCATCTCTGAGGATGAGAGAAGTTTGGGATGAACCGGTCTGGGGTATCCAAACCCCCTCAGAGAAGCTTAACCCACTCCCACAGCAGTGTGGCCAATAACCCAAACCTGTGGGGATACCACAGGGCTTCTCCCGGGGTAGGGATCAGGAATAAGGATGAATGAGGTGTTTCAATGACCCAAATTGCCCAAATCATCACCTTCTCTCCATTGACACCTCCTACTTTCTCTCTGAGGCTCCTCCTGATGAGCCTCAGGGAACACCTCCCCAGGGGTGTTCACCCAGCAAACACCAGCTCAGGGAGGTGGGAATGTGGCATCCAAGAGGAGGAGCCTCAGGGAACACCTCCCCAGGGGTGTTCACCCAGCAAACACCAGCCCAGGGAGGTGGGAATGTGGCACCCAAGACCTCGTTGGGTCTCCCAGACACCGATGCCTTGACTTGGGGTCCAGCCCACGGCGGTGGCCAGTCCCATTCCCTTGGGATGTGGGCTGGGGAATGGGGCTGGCAGAGCTCTGTGGTGACTGAATGGGAGCTTGGGGGGGGGGAACTGAGGCACTTGGAAGGCCCAGGAAAGCAGCAAAGCTCTGCATTTCAGCTTTTCAAACCACACCTGTCTGTCCCTCAAAAGTCAACTTACAGTTTTAAAAAAGACAAAAGGTGTTTGAAGAAGAGACCCCAAATAAGAAATTACGGCATTTAAGTGGAACAGTTTTGGCTGGACCAGAACAAGATCTCATGGAATCACTGAATGGTTTGGGTTGGAAGTGATTTTAAAGATCATCTGCCATGGGCAGGGACACCTTCCACTAGACCAGGCTGCTCCAAGGCCAATCCACCCTGACCTTGGGCACTTCCCTGTCCCTATTCCCTGGCGTGAAGTCCTCAGCCCAGATGACCATTCCTGCATCCTCCCATCCCTTTGGTTTCCCACCCCACAGTGGTGACATCAGTAGCCAAAGGATTTCAGCCAGGGGATGCAACCAGCAAAGGGCTTTCTGCCTAAAATCCCCTTTCCATGAAGGGAAAAGCCAAGCCAGCACGGATGAGTTAAAGATTTACCTGTGACTTAAAGCTCTGAGTCAGGTTTTTGGTTTTTCCTATTTACTGCACCTCCCTAAAAATAGAAATATAAAAATTATAAAATTAAACTTTTCAGTTATTTATAAAGCCTCCCCATACGTTTTGCCGTTTGAGCAGATGGGGAGCAATTGGAAATGTCACCGGAAAACGCCATCCAAAGGAGACATCCTGATAGTTCATCTCCAAACGGAGGATTTGCCGGCGAGCAGAGGGTTTTAATGCCGTTCCAGGCAGCCACGCTCCCTCTGCTGGAGTCTGCACAGACAACAGGCAGCTTTTGGTGCTGAAATCACGATTTTTGGTTACCTGGGAGGGCTCTCAAGGGGTTTTCTCTGTGCCCCATCGCAGATAAATCCAGGGCAAGGCGTGCTGGCAGCTTCATCCCGATGTCCTGCCCAGGTGGGGTGGTCCCAGGGGAGGATGGGGATATGCAGGAAGGACAGGGATGAGATGGAGGGAGAGAAATCCCTGACAGGAAACTTTTGGCCTGCAGCCCCTCCTGTGGTGCCAAAAGGATTTCCAAGGGGGATGATGAATTCAGAGAAAAACCCAAAACCTGGAATAGGAGAGGAAAGGGTGAGGAATGAGTGATTTAGCTGAAGTTTCCCACACAAACCCTTGGGCCCTGCAGCTCTGGCTCACACCTGTAGTCACCCATCTGCCAGAGTTTTATTAATGAGCTGGTCTCATTAGTGCTCATTGTTTATTCAAAGCCAGGGATGTGCAGCATTCCCACCTCCTGCTCTCCCATCCACCTGTTCCAAGGGCTTGGGTAGAGCCTGATTTTAGGTGTAATCCAGGGAGGGAGCTGCTGGTTTGGGTTGTGGGGCTCAGGTGGAGTCATGCAGAGTGGAACCAGCCCCCCTTGGTGGCAGGGGAAAAGTTTGGAGAAAAGGAGGCTCAGGGGGGACCTTCTGGCTCTGGAACTCCCTGACAGGAGGGGGGAGATGGGGGGGGGGGTCGGGCTCTGCTCCCAGGGAACAAGGGACAGGAGGAGAGGGAACGGCCTCAAGCTGTGCCAGGGGAGGTTTAGGATGGATACTGGGGCAAATTCCTTCATGGAAAGGGCTGTCCAGCCCTGGCACAGCTGCCCAGGGCAGTGGTG